TTTTCGGAGCGCGAGAATTGAAGATGCCAAGTGAGATTTTGGCGAAACGTCTGCAGGATTCCGGTCGGATGCAGGATTTGCAGGATTCCGGTCGGAGTTCAGCGAGCGAACGGATGATATCCCGGAGTATAGTGTCATTATATATATATATATATATATATATATATATATATATATATATATATATATATATATATATATATATATATATATATATATATATATATATAAAAGGAAAAACAGTCGGTCAGTATTGAATCGGAAGATGTTCAGGTGGGATTAAGTTTTTTCTTTTCATAGAATAAATTTTGTGTTTTCCGAAAAAAATTGTTTACTTTTACCTTTATTACACAGAATATTTGCTTTGCTTAATGTAAAATAATGTCGCTATTAAGAAAATTCTGAAAATCCGTAGAATACTTCAATAACAGATTTCGTATGTAATTATGTGTGACATAAAAGCTTCGCTGGGTCACTTAAATCTTTTCAAGGTAAACCTTGCGTAGTAGCGTATCGTTTACTTATATCCTGCAAATGTAAAAACAATTGAAATACCCGTTACAAGTCTTACAGCAGTCGCGCAATTATTAAATCTGCCAAGGATAAATTCAAATTATTTTTTAAACTTCTTGGCAAAAAAATGCGACGTAAAAGCGCCAGTACAAGTTGTATCCCAAATTCGCTATCTTCTAATAGAAACAATTATCAGTTTGGCATTATTGGACTGAATGATATTAAAAGGATGAAAACGACGTTTAATGATAAAATAAAAAATACAAAAAAACGATGGCATTAAGAACGTTGAATGTTGACACCATAAGGTTACAACTGTAATTCGTTATCTTAGGGCAACTATAATGGATATAGGCAACTTCTATATAACACTTTGGTAACACATTCATTTCTTGACCATTTATAGCTTTATTTAAAACAATTGTGTTGGATTATGATGCTTTGGCTGGTGGGTTCATTAATTTGAGACCTAATGCGAAACAACCGGAGAATCTCGTATTCGATTGTGACATATGACACATATCAGCACATATCGCAGTCATTAATTATAAGCAAATACAATTAATTTTTCATCGTTACTCGTTTCTATTTACTTTTTGAGCATACCATGTTTACCTGCCTTTCTTAATTTTTCAGTAATTGCCGGATTTGGCTTGTTTTGGATTAGAATATAATAAAAATAAAAATTCTTAGTAAAATTAATGTTGAGATATTATATCGTAAACGAATAAGTTTATTATCATTTTTAATGAACTTTGTTAGTTTTGGTTAGTTTAGTTTAAAGATGTATTATTAAGTTTTGGTAAATTAATACAATAAGCTAAAATTATAATTAAAATACAAATCAATAAAGTATAAATATATTGAATATATTGAATTATAAATATACTGAATTGAAAAAATACGTTTTCGGTATAACGATATAACTATTGCATAATAAAGTGGCCCTACTACTTTCCGGGCTATAGGCATTTCACACATTAATCTGCACTTTACGCCATTTTCTTTGTAAATAGCCATTTCCACACATTAACTCGCTGCCCAGAATATTTAACGAGATCCAGACATATTTTGAGCAAATACTGCCGTAATAATGCCACATCCAAACTTACTGACAGTCTGTCAGCTGCCATGTTGGTTGTTGAATGCCTCAAATTCATTGGTTAAATATGAGATTAGTTCCTATATTATCGCCCTCTATATCTCTAGTAGCTATATGGACGTAAGCATTCAAATCAGATATCACAGATTTCGTAGATTTCACAAAGATTTCACAGAATTTTAAATAATTTTACACATTTAACCGATTTAAAAAAAATATTTTTAGGTTATGTGAAAAATTTCTGTATTCTGTAGTAATTAAAAAACTACAATATAAAAAATAGACTTAAAACCTCTTTTTAATAAGTGGTAAAGAAAGAATATTGTCAGTGTCACTGTTAAATTAATAAATATAATTTTTATATATTCTCAAAACGGGCATAAAATATTTGAAAGATTATTTCAAAAATTTCTTCAATAATTAAATACTCTCCATAGAAAAGGACATTTAGCAAATAGAAAAAAGCAGCAGGATTTCTGTTGTCAAAAGAAAACTACCTGATATCTTGAGAATAATTTTGCATCCATGAATTATTAGTTCGCTGGATACTGCAAACAATGCAAATGAACATCTAAGATTGGTTTCATTTTATAGGCCTATAACTAACCAAAACTGGTACACAGAACGTCACCCCTTAAACGCAACCTACAAATAACCTAAAAATATTTATTTAATCACATATTGACATTTTTATAGATTTTTTTTTTATTTTAATGATGATTTAAGTAATGAAAATTACTCAGAACTCTAGCATTTTCAAAATTCGTTATTATTTTGTAAAGATATATCACGGATTTCACAGATTTCACGGATTCCATAGAGAAATAATTAGGTAAAAACCGTTGACAATTTTCTTCTTCATTTTAAAAAGACTACGTGCTCGAACATGAGTAGCCTTCATTAACAATATGATAACAACGGGAATGTGATCGGCTTCACGTAAAATAAAATTCATATACTATTAAATTTCCGAGTAAATGACCAGAACCGTTCTAAAATGATGAAACCAAAATAGTTTTTGCGGTTTACACGCATGCAAAACAAATTACAATACTTAACGGGAACATAACAAAACCAAAACCTGGGCCAAAACAAATATTTTACGCCAAAATAACAGTAACGGTTATTTATTTATTTTTACGAGCTTTTGTACAGGCCGTGCGCAAAAAAAGTCTGTATACTCTCTGCTCTAAAATACCAAGTTATGCCCAGTTAAAATGAACGGAAAGTGTCAGTCAGTTTGTGGTACATTTTAGTCATGGAATTTTGACGTTTGTCAGTTCTGAATATAGTTATTTAGATAGTGGCCACCATACTACGGTAAAAATTGATGCACCGTACGCGGCATTGATATTTTCGTAGTAATAAGTTTCCGCGCATGCGCCAACATTTCACGCTCTATCCTGCACACGTGAAATTTGATGTACCAACCAGGTCTGTGAAATCTGTGAAATCATACCATGGTTTTATAATTGTGTCCTTTGAGCGCTTTAATCTAAAAAAAAAAATGTATGACTAAATAACTATTTTTGCGGAATTTCTGGATGTGACGTTTGATTGTACATCATAAAAAAGGGTCATAAAAAATAATTTCAAAACAAGAATTACCAACATTAATAACTAAATGTGTTAAGATTACTTATGAAGAAATTACCTAATTGCTTTGAAGAAAAAAAAAATAATTTTGAAGAAAAAAATAATATTTCGTGTCTGTTTTGAAAATTTATGGAATTTACAAAATTTAGATTTATGAATTTATTTCATTATTTTTATTTATTAATTTATTAATTAAAAAATGGTATTTTGATACTGACAATACCATTTTTTAGAAAAGATTTAAAATGCACTTTTTATATATAATTTCTACGTAGTATTATTTTAATTGACGCAATGCAAAAATTTTCCACATAAACTAAAAAATATTGCAAAATCCGTGAAATCTGGAAGATCATTTAGAAATCTGTGAAATCTAGTGTAAAATTTTGGATGGTGATTTGTCCCCTGGATCTGTACTTTGTTCTTACTAAACAACGATCTCTCACACACTTAACTCGAAGGTCATTGGTTAAAAACGAAATTTTAAATCTAGCGCATGCGCATGTTGAATAGACTTTCCCATTTTTTTTCAGTTGCTTCATAGGCAGGCTATATTTTTAATAGCTATATGGTTCAGACGGTCAGGTCACTCAACGAGTGTACATTGGTGCTGTTTTGCAAAAATGTACCCAAAAACTAATGGTAGTAGAAAAAGTACAATATGCAAGATGTTGTTAAAGACGGCGTTTATAAAACTTATTGCAGAGTTGCAAAGCGAGTGTTCTTAAGCGTCAAAAAAATTAAGATGACAGGATAAGGAATTAGTCAATTTAACATTCCAAAATCGCGTGCTAGCGTGTCATTCTTGCGAACGCCAGTGTGTGCGGAAAAGTATGAAAACCATGCCGCCGACGAAAATTTTCTCATTTTGCTAGATTTTGCTACATTCTTTGTACCACATTGGTTATTTGCGCTATCGCAAACGTTCTTGCCACTTAATTTATGACTAAGGAGCCATTGATGTTTTGGTATAATACACCTATAATATAAAGATATTATGTTTTTCTGTTAATTATATGACAGTTCTATAACTAATAAAAATACATTAGTTATATTGTTCCCATAATAGATCGATGAGGCGCTTTAAACGCTCATTTTTTCAAATAAACTAGTAGTAGAGTAATGGTAACAGATGTTTATGTAACAGAGCTTGAATTTTAGGTCAAATTTGCACAATAAATTAGGTACATCAGATTTTATAGAGTGACCAAAAAACAAATAAGATCATACTGTACAAATTATACATAGTTCTTATGTTTTTAGGCATAATTTTAAAAAGGTAGTTTTGTTTTTATTTCATCTAATGCCTGGGTATCGTTTTAAACATTTTAACTACGAAATTTCCGGATGTGGCACAGAATGCTTAAAAAATAACTTAAGACTCTTTGAAATCTAATTGTTTGCAAAATAAACTAACCAAAAAATGTAAGCTGAATATCAAAAAATTGCAAATTCTGATATTTAAATATTCAAAATTATTGAATAGTCTTACATTCCTAGGTCGTCTGGTATATTTCAAGAAAACGGAAGAACTGTCACTTATGTGTATAATTTCAGGTTAGAATGAATCCACAAACCCAATCATAAAAAAATTGTCAACGTAGTTGTAGTTTATAACATTCAAAATGTTATCTATTGTCAATAAAAAAATAATTTTTTTGTTGCTTTTTGTCAGTCCACATTTATGATTGCGATAATTGCTTTCCATATCGTATTCATCTTGAATAGCTACCTCATTAAATTCTAAATTTCCCAAAATGTTAATCCAAGTTTCAATCAAAATACGAACCTTTTTACCATTTCTGAAGCCGTTTTAAACAGTTTGACTGTTTTTTTTTCGCACTTATCACCGTTCAAATCTCAAATGCCTCTCACTGAATAAAAAGCTGTCCCAAAAGTCGACCCGTGTTTACTAAAATGCATCGTACAATTTGGACGAAAAACACTTTTAAACAAGAACACTTGGAAACACGATATAGTCACTATTTAGCTGGCAGTTATGATTTAAAAGTGGACGAAGAAACCTCGCTTCAAAAAATATCGTAACACGAGGAACTGAACGACAAAAAATGAATATTGATATACACAAGTTGTTTTCCAAAAACATTCAACTTCTCGATAACAATGGCGCTCGTGGCGCCTGTCGATTTCGTGGTGAACGATTTTCTGAAGCGCCTAGCGACCTCTTGGTTTACTTTTGTAAATCTCAAATGGTATAAAGTTTTCTTCACGAATATTTATCTTTTATTCTTTAAAACCTATGTGAATTGGACAGATTAAAAAGAATAAACCGAAAAAAATTAAGACTACCCGAGGATGGTAAACCAGAGAGAATAGTGACATGACCGATTTATTTCCACCAGTTTGGGGCGAACAGTAACGTACTTTTCCTCCTCCTATCGTTTCGTTTGATGCCTTATTTGTACAGGATAGCTTTAAACTGTTTTGTGGAATTTCTATTACAAAACAATGTTAAGTTACGTACCTCGTACTATGTAACACATAGCCATGTTCGGTAGGTAGGAATCTACGCTTAGTTATCTATAAAACAAATAGCTACTAGATGGCTTTGCTAATAATACAAGCACTTTGGAAACCAACATCAAAACATGTTGTAAGGGACATTCAATATGCGCATGCGCAAGTCATTTTAAAATGCACATTCAACCAATAACATCTTTGCCGCGTTCAATAATCATGATGCCCGCTGACAGTGCGTCAATTTGTCGGATTTCAGTTTTGATGTGGCATTTTTTTGAAAGTATTTTATCCACATGTACCCAGGTGCAATTACATTCAAGGAGCAAGTTAAGTGCTTATGAAGATCGCTGTTGACAATTAAAAGGGCGCAACGCGCAGGTTAGTGTGTGCAATTTAGGGAAATGACATAGCCGTCTAAGACGCGTCAATTTTACAGTATTTATAATTGAACCTAGCAGTCGTGACCAACAGAAGTAAAGAAGAAGAAATATTTATGGTAGCTACATGATGGAAACTATCTTCCCTTGCTTGATCTTTTTCATTATCAGTTATTGCCTTGTATTATATTTAACGTTGAGACTAACTTTTCCTCACGATCATTTTGCAAATACGAACGCGATGTAAGCAGTAATTACCTCTTTTTTTCAAAGACACTTCCACAGGCTTCTATAATACTATTTACAAAATTTCTGGATTCCTCCTGCGTCGGTTAACTGAAACTGTTTTAGTTAAGCTCTGAAGAATCCAAAAGGATGGATTATCAAAACGTTAACATTCAACAAGAACCGACACAGAAGAAATCCAGAAGTTGTGTAAATAGTAAATGGTAATTACTAAACTCGTTTGGTATTTACCGGGCATTCGCTCGAAATTCATTTCTTGACGTTTCCCTATATCATAATCTTTGCAAAGTAGACGTGATCAACCTGAGATATGTAAATGGTAATCTTGGCCATGGAAGTAAACAAGATGACGAAAAATGTAAAGAATAAGAAGAAGAAAAGAATTGTAAAGAAGAAGCGCGTTTCCCGCCAATTTTATTATGTATTTGTTTAGAGTTTTAACCTTTTCTTATATGAGTTGTGAAGTTTGTAGTTCGTAAATTTGTTAACGATGGCTGGATTTGACGATCCGGGTGTGTTTTTCAGTGATAACTTCGCTCCAGAGGAAAATCAGGGTGATGCTCATGTAAATTTACAAGCTGCAAAAAAGAAATTTAAAGAATTTATTAGACAATACCACACGGAAAATTTTGATTATAAGTATAGGTAGGTTTCAAATATTGTTCACTCTGTATTTTTCAGCTTCATAACACATTTTTATTTGTTATTAGAAATGCTCTCAAGCGCAACTATAATTTAGGGCACTACTATTTAGAAGTTAACATTGAAGATGTTGGAAGTTTTGATGAGACTCTGGCTGACAAACTTTACAAACGACCTACTGAGAACTTATCTATTTTCGAGGAAGCTGCCAAAGAAGTTGTTGACGAACTTACGGCGCCAAGACCGGATGGAGAGGAAAATGTGGAGGATATTCAAATAATGCTTTCATCAGATGCCCATGCTGCAAATCTTAGGGCCTTGAAGGTAGATGTTTTAAATTATTTGTTGTTGCTTTAACTTTTTTTTTTCAGTCTGATGTTGTTTCTTGTCTTGTAAAAATTCCTGGGATAATTATTAGTGCTTCAGAAATTAAAGCCAAAGCCACAAAAATCTCAATTCAATGTCGAAGTTGTGGAGTTGTTATTCCAAATTTACATGTGAATAGCGGATTTGAGGGTTATATTATGCCTAGAAAATGTTCTACGTGAGTTACAAATATAGCATTAGTATTGTTCCAACATTTCTTTTTTGTACAGAGAGCAAGCTGGGAGAATAAGGAAATGCCCTGTTGACCCATATTTTATAATGCCTGACAAATGTAAATCAGTGGATTTTCAAATTTTAAAACTGCAAGAATTGCCAGATGGTATTCCTCAAGGAGAAATTCCTAGGCATATTTTACTATATGCAGATAGATATTTGTGTGACAGTGTGGTACCAGGCAACAGAGTGTTTGTTCTAGGTGTTTATTCTATTAAAAAAATTAGTAGAGCTTCTCGGGTATATGTTTTTCACAAACTATAAAGTTAGTTCTACTTTATTGCTATTAACATTTTAGAGAGAAGGAAGAGAAAAAGCAAGTACTGGTGTGAGAGCAGCATACATGCGTGTGGTGGGGATTCAGTTAGATGTAGAAGGGGTAGGTTCCTCAAAATGTGGTACAATAACATCAGAAGAGGAAGATCTATTCCGCAGGATGGCAGCATTGCCAAATGTCTATGAAAAACTGGCCAACAGTATTGCCCCATCAATTTATGGAGCTATCAATATTAAAAAAGCCATAACATGTTTGCTTTTTGGAGGTAATTGTGCACATATGTTTGTCATTATATTATTTAAAAAATTATTTTTCACATCCTGTAGTGATCAAACCCAGAAGAAGACACCATCCATTTTGACTGTTTAATCTTTTTATTTTAGGTTCGCGGAAGAAATTGCCTGATGGATTAACTCGAAGAGGGGATATAAATGTTTTACTGTTGGGTGATCCCGGTACAGCCAAATCTCAGCTGCTAAAGTTTGTTGAAAGAGTTGCTCCCATTGCGGTATATACATCAGGTATTTTTTTTTCATCACAAGCTTCACTCTCACACTAAAATTTGAGAATATTCATATTTGTTGATCCAAATTGTCAATTTTCTCAGTAATGAATCAGTTTGTTCTTCGGATTATATATTATACATTATAAAAATAAATAAGAACTAAAAGTTCAGATTTTCACGAAATTATATATTATGACATGACAATTGTTTCGACAACACCGTGTCTTTATCAAATGTCACATCAATCACATTTGATAAAGACACGGTGTTGTCGAAACAATTGTCATGTCATAATATATAATGTCGTGAAAATCTGAACTTTTAGTTCTTATTTATTTTGATAAATGGATTTTCATCAAGTAAAAGCCACCTCAGTTCAATTATACATTATAAACCTTATGTTTGAAATAAAATTGCTTTAAGGAGCCATTGAAACTTTGTTATCATTCTGCTGGGTCGTGTTTGAAATTTATGGAATGCTGGGAAACATTTTAAAACTTTGTTTGTTTATTTTATTTATTGTCTTTACAGGAAAAGGTAGCTCAGCAGCTGGCTTAACAGCATCAGTGCTGCGTGATCCTGCTTCTCGTAGCTTTATTGTTGAAGGAGGAGCTATGGTTTTGGCTGATGGAGGAGTAGTATGTATTGATGAATTTGATAAAATGCGGGAAGATGATAGAGTGGCCATCCACGAAGCTATGGAGCAACAGACGATCTCTATTGCCAAAGCAGGCATTACAACTACACTTAACTCAAGATGTTCTGTTTTAGCTGCCGCAAATAGTATTTTTGGAAGATGGGATGAAACTAAGGTAAGGAAAATTTGGGCCAACACTTTAGCATTGATATATACATATATAATGATACTATATTTCAATTCTTCAATTTTTAGGGAGATGAGAACATTGATTTTCTGCCCACTATTTTATCAAGATTTGATATGATTTTCATAGTTAAAGATGAACATGATAGGAATAGAGATATGGTAAGTAATCGCGTAAATAGATTTAAATAGAATATTATCTGCGACGGGAAGAAATCAGATATTATTGTTGTAATGATAGTTTTTCATTTTAGGTACTAGCAAAACATATTATGGGCGTTCACATGAATGCTGCTCAAATTACGCAGGAGACTCAGGAAGGAGAGCTGTCATTAGAATTTTTGAAAAAATACATAAACTATTGTCGTACTAGGTGTGGACCTAGACTAAATAAGGAAGCTGCTGAAAAATTAAAAAGGAAATATGTTTTGATGAGGTAAGTTGTACATGGAACCCCCTGTATATTATTGATTTTTGGAATTCTCAGGTCAAAATAAGTGTGTTTTAATAACGTGTAGGATACCTAAACAACATGTTTTAGCCACAACATTCCGCGATGTATACCGTGATGAATACTGACTACATGCAACATATTTTATTTTATTTTTAGATCAGGTGCGAGTCAGCATGAAAAAGAAATTGATCACAAAAATTCAATTCCCATTACTGTACGTCAGTTGGAAGCCATTATAAGAATGTCCGAGGCATTGGCAAAAATGCAGCTATTGCCATTTGCTACGGAAAATCACGTTGATGAGGCTTTGCGTCTTTTCCAGGTTTCTACTTTAGATGCTGCAATGAGTGGCTCTTTAGCAGGTAATTATTACAAGCCTATCAGTATACTATTTGTGCAGGTTTGAACAAAACTAACTTAACTACATCTTCCGATATTAAAAGCTATAATTTGCATTTTGATATATGAATAGTTTCAAATGTTGATGTTAAAAGTTCTATTTATTTTTCTTCTTCCTACTGCATATTGCGATTGTCTGTTTTCTCCACATCTTTGCTCAAATGACTAAATATTTGGGAGGTTATCGCTCCACCTTTTCCTAGGTCTTCCAAGGCTGCTGGTGATTTGTCCCTCCATGTTTTCACTATTTGTTCTTCTGCCATATGATCAATTTGTCAATATTAAAGAAGGTGTATTATATTTTCAATTGTATTTGATCAAAGGCTTTCTGCAAGTCAATAAAACACATGAAGGCTGGTCGGTTGTATTTTATTAATTTTTCTGTTATTTGTCTTATTACACAGATGACATCTGTGCAGGATCTTCCTGATCTAAATCCCTGTTGTTCTTCTGCTAGTGTGATGTATTCATTAATTTTGTTCGTTATTATCTTTGTAGTTAACTTCAGGGAAGTACATGGGAAATTTATGCCCCGGTAGTCCTCGAGATTTTTTTTATCTCTTTGAATAAGACAATCGTAACGCCATTCATCTGTTATTCTATGTTTGGAGAACATCTTCTTAATTAAAGCTGTTAATTGTTGGTTAAGCTTTTCACCTCCATACTTGAGTAGCTCGTTTGTGATGTTATCTTTCGGTTCTTTAATTTTTGAAGTGCCGTTACTATATCTTTCTTTTCTATATCGATGCTATGATGCGATGTTCGTAGGAAACATTGCTTTTGAGAGAATAAGAACAATTAATTACATGCAATGTTTTTTTCTACAAACACTATTAAAAGACCAAATTTCAAAAACAAACTCAGCTGTGATTCTTTCTAGGAGCAGAAGGGTTCATTACGGAAGGGGAACAGGAGATTGTAGCTCGAATAGAGAAGCAATTGAAACGTAGATTTGCTATCGGCACTCAAGTTTCGCAGCAAAACGTTATTCAAGATTTTGTCCAGCAAGGTTACCAAGAGAGATCTATTGTCAAGGTTATCCAGGCTATGATCCGTAGAGGTCAACTGCAGCACAGGATGCAAAGGAGAATGTTGTATCGTATTAGCTAGAACTGTGTGGTAAATACTGTTATTCCATTGATGCTGCGATTGATTCCATTTTCTTTTGTTTTTGGCATTGTTTGCAAATTTTTATTGCGGTACATTTAAAATTGAAACAAAAAATTCAAGCTTAGTGGAGCCCCTCAATCTATGGGAGCTCGGGCATTTCCACTTCAGTAACTATTAAATCAAATAAAGTAAAATAAAATATATTAACATTTGCGCATTGGTATTTTGTTTTACATATTTTCATCAGCATGAAAATAATTTACAGAATTATATATAAGGTGAGTACTTGTTTTTCATTTAGGCGTTGAAAAAGGTATTTGATTGCGTTTTAAAAAAATAACGAATAAGTTATGCACAAATATATCTTATCTGTCTTGAAACAGTCAAGTTTACATAATAATATGCTTTTTCGCATATATTTCTCAATTTTTGTTTATAACAATATCTTAACTACAAGTACTATCAAACATTAAACAAGAGAGAAAAAATTATATAATGTAAGGGGTTTATTAAAGAAATTAATTCGCCATTTTCGTGACTTGGGGTCAGGCGCCCATTTGCTGACCTTGAAAAGTAAAAACTTAAATTTAGTGTTTCGTGTCTTATTTCATATACTTCAATTATACCATCTCTTTACATACATTACAAAACAATTTATATACTATAATTTCTTATGTAGGTAAATGGTTAGTTTTTAAAAATAGTCTGTCTTTTATAGAGCAAACAAACCAAATTCACAACATAATAAAAACCGTTGGAGTAACTTCTTTTTATTATTTTATGTAAAAAAAATAACTTTTAACGGGTAACAATTATTAATATATCTTCTGTACAAAGATGTGGAAAGTAAATAAAAATATTTAAACAAAACTGAACTATTAGAACATCAACCCATCAAGTTATAAGAAAAATTATTAAAAAAAATTTGGTTGCTAACAGGAATCTTATACAGGCGTATCTCAAACGGGCGTATTTTATGACATGATCCTTTTCTTAGATGTCATAGGGAACGGAAGAATGCCGATTGCCTCATTTTGGCATAAGTATCTAATCCATGTAATGAATGAAAATCCAAATTATTTATATAAACAAAAAAATCCATTATTTTTTCTACAATTGCAGAAGTGAGAAGTAGGAGTAAATAAAAGGTATCAGTATGTAAGTGTAACACAAAACTAGGTACGTACTTCAAAGTTATCGTGTTTCTACATATCCAAAATTTAGTCAAAAACAACATTGTTCGCTTAATGTTTTTTAAATGGATACTCCGGGTGATTCTCAACACCTTTGAAGAACAAAAATGTAAAAATTCGACCATCTTCTCCTTTATCTAGCAAATCCAATTTGTCCAGATCCTCTTTTGATAGCTCAAAATCAAACAAGTCCATATTTTCTCTAATACGGTCCCGATTACCACTTTTTGGTATAACGATAACGTTTTGTTGTACAAGGTGCTTCAGTAATATTTGGCCAGGTGATTTTGCATATTTTTGAGAAATTTCTTTGACATCTGGATGTCCTAAGATATCCGGAAAATCCTTCAAGCTAAAAAACAAAAAACTGTGTCCATTGTTTTTTGTTTCAACGTTCGCAGTTAAAGCCGACTACAAATGTCTATATCGCCCTAAAATATTTTTAGTCATGTAAGTGGGTTTGTAAAATATTCTATGCAGAAAATTAACCCTTCGCACATGTATTAATCTTAACTCTAGTAAATCTCATTTTTTCGTTAATCATGTAATCATGATAAAAATGACTGCCTGTTTTATGTAAGACGATAATTTAATTATTATTTATTGCAGAAATTGCTACTCTGCTCACAACTAGTTCCTAAAGTAACAAGGAAATCTCGGGCAACATTTCAGCTTTCTAAATATTAAACCAAGCCAAAAATAGGAATTTCAGTTATCCGTCAGCCAAAAAATATGGAAAATAATTAGTAGCCCAAAAACCGTTAGAGATAGATATAGATAGAAATATGCCAAAAATGACCAGAAAGTGACAGTGGAGTGAAAAATTAAAAAGTTGTCGTTACTATTGATACAAGCGGCAATACTGGTATACTTTTATCATAAACCCAGAGGGATACATTATTGATTGGATCTGAACAATCACCAATTAAAATGAAATTGGTTGAACGTGTGAAATGGTGTTCGTGTAGCCGCACCAACTAGTTTTTACATTTTAGGTTTTTTCTTGTATAATTATTGCTAAAATATATTTCAAATTTAATAAGGAAAAATTCGCACGTATATATTAAATTGTAATTTTTGCAAACCTGTAATTGTATTTTGTACTAAAGTGGGCATTTGCTCCTGGACTTCCTAACGGCGAGTATGCAGTAACGGCAACATTTAGCTTTTGGCAAAATTCCCTCAATTTTTTTTGTTGCAAATAAGCATGCAGTTCCACCTGCAGAACAGAGGGCTTAATTTTTGCGCTCTCGTATATTTTTCTTAGTTGATCTTCATTAAAATTCGACACACCAATTGCCCTGGTGCGTTTCCGCTCGACTTGTTCTTCCATAGCCTATAAATTATAAACGCTTTTTTAAAATGTCTCTTTTTTGTTGGTTTCTTATGTGCAATAATATTAACAGTATATGTGGAGGTACAAAATTATAGATATTTGGTGCTTTTTCATATTGTCGTATTACGTAATTACTTTCAAAACTTAAATTTTTAAAATTTCAATTACAAAATTGATAAGTTTCTTCATTTATAATTATAAAACACACTATTCAATTATTCATAAAATTGTTATATTTAACTAACTCAAACGGATTTTAGGAAGGATTTAAAGAAGTTTTCATTAACATATTTTCTAATTTCTTCTATTTCCAATCAATCGGTTGTGATTACATTTTTCCAGTACACTCCTACAAAACAAGTAAATAAATAAATAAATGAAAATAAAAAATATTTAATATATGCATATAGAACATTATAATGAATATAATAAAAATTTTATGTTGCCAAATGGATCAGAAAATATGACCTTTCTGTTAAAGCGTGAACCATGAGTTATTTTTAAGATTAGAATGAAAAAGAAAATACTGTAGAACATAAAAAGTTTTTCCAATTTTACAATTGATATTTTCACTGCTTTTTCTGAACTTTTGAAATATTAACCGTACACGTAATAGACATAGTTTGGTACGTTAATGGAGTTAGGTCTCTATCAGCCACTGTTGCCTTAGAACAATAAGTTTTAGTTTGAAATAAAAACGTTATCCATAGATTCCTTTTTTAACAGTCAATATAAGGTTTTGCCACCAAACATGAGGACAATTAAAAACCCATAGCAATGAATATTCGTGAAACGGATTTTACATTTTTACCTTCCAAACGTCGACGAGATCGCTGTTTTCTAAACTGAACGTTCCATCCTCGTTGACCAACGGGGTCAGGGAGGCTTCATTGCAGTGAAAACTGAAAGGCATATGCACCAAATACAAGTCGACATAGTCAAGCTGTAGTCTTTTTAGAGACATTTTTAAAAATCTTTCCACGTCAGTTGGTCGGTTCCCAAAATTTGGTAACTAGAAAGGAAGAATTTTTTAATTAAAATTTATATAGTCCTGATAAATAAAATATTTTACTACTTCGTACCGCAAAGTGATAGTTCAAATTGTGTTAAAACCTACCTTTGTAGTAATAAATAAATCTTCGCGCGTACCTTTTCCAGAATCAATCCAACTTTTTAAAGCATTCCCTATTGCATCCTCGTTGTTGTAGTTAAACGCAGTATCTAAAATACACGATAACAACGTCGAATCGCGTTTAATTACAGAAAATCTGCGTTGTATTAAAATCATGTTATTAACCGTTGTGTTTTTAACTGCACAACTAAGAAATAGTTTGTTTTCTACACAAGGGCGCAAAAAAAAAATCAAATAAAAGGTACGTACTTTTCAAATGTATTCAAAATAATCCACGGGTACACAGACCAACAATACAAAATCTTTAAGATTTTATTGCAATTTATGCAAAATTTGACGGATAATTTTAGTAACGGAAAAATCACACTCACATTTTTATCCCCAATGTACACATTTGTATTACAGTTATATACTTTTAGGTAAACATCTGAATTTCCCATGTGTCGGGTATTGACTCTGTTTAGCTTCAGACAGCGCTCTGAAGAATCCAGCAGCATGTTTGAAGAAACGTCAGCGAGACAGACTCAACCCCCGATGCAGGGCAAATCCAGTTTCCAAGTTTCTTGGAAAAATTCATAATATATTTATTCCTCATAAGTTTGAAGTGTTATTTACACACCCACACGGTGGTATTGAAGTGTCCATCACCTCCGCACCCCAGCTGTTATTCAATTTCGAAACACCGTGTATACTTACCTATATGTCTGTATCCACATTCTAGAGCTATCGTCACAGCGTTTTGAACTTCCTCTGGTGAAGCTCTCCAGGTACCCAAACCTATCACAGGCATTTCAAGATTTCCCACTAGTTTCAGCGTCTTCATTTTCAGAGGAAAAAATATCGCCGTTGTAATAATAATTGTTCGCGGCCAATTCTATATACACGAGAGAAAATGTTCTATTTTCAATTCATCCTTTACGCTATTCGTAGCCACAGGGGAGAATAGCAAAATAATCTTGACACTATTAATAGTTTTTTGAAAATGATGACGTTTGGGAAACGTTTGTTGTCTAGGCCATGGTTTGACTTTTCTGTCGCATGCAACATCGATCCCGCGAAATTATCGGCTGACTTTTTCCTGTGTGGAGTAAACGTGGAAACCCGGAGTTGCGTCAAGCTGCGCAAGGCTGAAGCTGTTTGCCATCAAGTTTTAGAAAACGTTTAGATTAAATTCCATCGGATCAAGGTCTATTAAAGAAAGGGCCGTACGTTAACACCGTATTTTTAGAGCACAATATGTTTTGGTCCAATATAAAAATTGAAAATGTAATATTTGTCGATATTTTTGAAACTGTTCAACATGAGTTCAATAATAGTAATATAGTATTGGAACAATAATCATTTATAATCGTGTGCGTATCACGAGAGGCACACTGATTAATAAAAATGCCGGATAGTTTTTTAGGCAGAAAATTAAATCTATCAATTCTATACATTATACAGGAATATTTACTTTTACTGTAAAGTTCGTTTACTTTTAGCGGTTCAATAAATTCACTTTCCATTTTAGCGGAGACGATGGAGCTTTTGGATTTAAAATTTGTGCAGTGTATTTTTCTTCCCTGTAATTTTTAGATTTAGGAAATTGTTGTCGAATAGGAGAGTCTCTTTTATGAACCATAATAAGCTTTGGGTTGGACAATTAGCGACGTTTCAATTTCTGAATTTAATTATATATGTCATAATAAGACGCGCAGAGTTTTATTGCACCATAACATCGTTCCTGGATTCAAAGTCTGTTAAAATCTTCAATACACGCGATTTTTTAAATAATATTAATATTAATCCATAGAGAACAAAATTGCTGCTCGATATTGATCAAGGTCGCAGTACCCCTTTAAAAAACCAACTGTTTCGATGTTTTCATTTAGTTGACGAACAAAAACAGTTAATACGAACTGATACCAACTTTCTAATAAACAAAAAATCCCAGACCTTAAAATTTTATTAACAACTAGCATAATATACATCTTGTTATAAAATTCTTTTAATTTTCTTTTGGCGCATTCATACATAGTAATGTTATCCATCTCGTTTACATATAGCACTTGATTATGGATAATATACTGAAACTGTCTAAAAGCTAAATATACATGCGAATCTACGACATCTGCCTTCCACATTCTCTGCTGTACTAGTCCATTGTTTAGTCAATCCTATTGTCAAAAGACTTTATACAGAAATCTATTTAATGATCATCCAAAAAATAATAAATACAGTTTGTTTTGTGGTAAAGGAAAAATACAAAATTTAGCACGTTTATTTTTTTAACTTTACACTACTTCAATACCTTTGGAATCTTTGAACAGTTTCAGAAATAAAAAGTAAGGATAATGCCAAATAGCAGCCCTACTCTAATTGTCAAAATACAGCAAACAAAGATCTCTCCACCCGGACATATACAGCATGTGACATTTGAATAGCGAAAAAGAAAAAAATTAGCCCTCAAAATTTTCCAAAATAATTTTTTTCCCCTACCACATTAGGTAGTTAGTAGTGGACTCATCAACCCCTAACTTCAAAATACATATGAAGTTTTGACAAAAAACAAACTGTTTAATTTAAAATGGTGCTATTTTCTTTTGGAAGGGAATTGTTCCATCAGAGAGTAGAATGGGTAAAACCCCAAAAACACAAAGTTTGAAACAAATTTTGTGTTTAATGTTGAAGCACATCTGAAGATATGTTTTGATGATCCTACTACTGCAGTTAATTTTCATTTCATTTTAAATTCACGCCTATCAATTTACAGCTACAAAATAAAAAAAATCTGTTGCAAAACCAAATTGTCTTTTGCACAGAACTATTTGTCAGTTCATTGATATTTCTGAACCATTCCGTACATTACGGGCATATTGGCTGTTTGCTGACTGGGCGGGCCTGACCATTGTCCTTGGGGCGGGACCACACCATACTGTTGTCCTGCGGGGTATTGATATTGCTGCTGGTATGGATAATTCTGCATGTAATTTCCATAACCTTGAGGATACCAATAACCACCATATCCATAGGAATAGGGGGCTGCTGTTGGTGGACCAGAAGTGCCAGAAGTTGCAGTATTTATGTCAAGTCCTAATCCTCCATTTTCCTTACCCCAAAAACATTTTACATGATGTCCGTTTATTTCGGTATTATGAATGCTTTCAATAGCATGTGTGGCGCTTTCCTTAGTGGCAAACTTAATAAAGGCATATCCTTTATCTTTGAATACTCTTATGTCAGTTATAGTGCCGAAAGGGGCAAATGTTTTTTGCATCAAATCTTCAGTAAGACCACCATTAAATCCACCACAATAGACAGTGGTGTTAGTTGGTGAACTCTGGTTATACACTTCATCAAATGTAATCTGCTTTTGTCTTTGTTGTGGTTTTTCAGTTCTTGGAGGTGGTGGCTTTCTAGTAGACCAGTTTGTACGAATTGACCGAGACCCAAGCCACTGTCCATTCATTGCTTGAATAGCATTTTCGGCTTCAGCCTTCTTCACAAAGGATACAAAAGCATAACCTTTTGATTTTAAAGTCTGAGGATCCCTAACAATGCGGCAATTGGATATTTCCCCAAAAGGAGCAAAGGCCTCTCTTAACGTTTCAGTCTCGATTTCGGGTGATAAATCACCCACAAATATGTGATGATGGTTTGAGGTATCTGTTTTAGGTTGATTTCCAGGACTAGTGGCCCAATTAACTTTCATTTCTTTATCTAGAAAAACACGTTTATTCATTGCTATCAGTGCTGTAGAGGCAGACTGGTGGTTTGTAAATTCAACAAAAGCATAAGGATCATTTCCTGGTTCTCTAATGATTTTACATCCTTTAACAGGGCCAATTTGTGAAAATAAAGTACATAGCAAGTCTTCTGAAACAGAAACATCCAGATTGCCCACATATAGGGTTTTTGGGTGACTTTCGTCGGACATTGTGCCGCCGGAGAAAAACTGGTACAGTTTTTTCAGAAACACTCAATATTTTTGCCGCACATAAATAAAAACCTATTTCCCCTTCGGGAAATCAACTCTTCCCAGTTATTTTTTTGTGAATTAATTGATAAAGAAAAACAAATTGTAACAGTTAGCCAACTTTTCTTTTCACAGACTAATGTGCTGTCGCTGTCAAAAATAAACCCCCAAACACGAGTATTAAAATTCCCTACAAATATATTAGGCAAGTTACCATTTATGTTGGTTAATGTTTTCTATGGTTAAAGTATAGTTTAAGTTTCCAAATTCGCGTTGCGATCTATATATTATTGCATATTGTACCACAAATGAAAAACTGATGTTGATAGGGTGTATTTCTCCATTTCTAACAAAAAAGTCTTAAGATGCAATACAATAAAAGTCCTTTATTGTTATCATTCTTATTCTGATTATTTTGTGAATTCAATCTTGTCAAACGTCATCAAGTGGAATGAATATGAAGATTTTACGTTTATAGATATATTTTGATTTGATATATATGATATATTTTAATAATTACTATAAATCTAAGTCAGCACAGACATGTTTTATGGGTTGCTAATATAATGCCTTATCCAGAAAAAGTCCTTTAATAAGTTTCTATTTATAAAAAAAAATAAAATAATGGCATAAATTAATTAGGCTATAATAAAATAAATTGTTTTAAAATGGTCTATTTTTTAAATATTTCGGATATACTCTGTTTTTTTGTAGTGTTAACTGTTGAACTTTGAACGACCAAGTTCAAAGGCAGTAGACACCATGCAATCCACGTATTTTTAATTTTTTGATGATAGGCATGATGCAATTTTTTCGATCAAAATAGGTTTAATTATTTTGGTAAAAATTCGATTTTTAAATTTTGATGCAATAAAAAATATATTTTATTTTTTGTTATTGTTAAATTATCAAATTTTATGCAAACTTGTTTTTTTTCACTTATATAATCAACTTGTGTGTGTATAAAGAAAATCCACAATCCCTATACTAAAAGTGAGAAAAATGAGAATGTTTGAACTGCCTCATAAAATCAATATGTACTAATTAATCAACTTATGTATTGTTTAAAAGAAATTTCTGTGCAATTTCATTATATTTAGGAACCCTTTTGGTTTACATATATTGAAATACTGTTCTTTAAACAAATTTTTTATTGAGTTGTTTTATAATAGCTTTTAATTTTCGTGATTAATTTTTGCAATACCCACAATTTTTTAAACCAATTGTCCATTGACATTTTTTAAAATCATATTTGGGAGGTGAAACTTTCATCTGCAATTACTTGTAATAAAGCCTTTTGTATATAGGGTCAATTTACATGTCCGCTATAAACTTTATAAATAAAATAAAATTCGATATTTCTTAAAAATTACAATAATCTTAATGTTTATGTAATTGATAATTACATTAGAGCATGTCAGCTAAAACACAATGTAAAAAGTGGCCCTTCTTGTTATACTGATGTTGGTTGCTAAAATCATATTTTATACAAAATAGTTTGTGAGTTTTATTGGTCCAGTTGCAGTTTTGCTGCTCTCTTCTGAAATTTAAAGTAAAATTACTACAAAATATAAACTAATTCTAAAAATTCTACCCTTAATTTTGCGCCTTGTTCATGCAAAATCCTCATATCTTTTTTGATGTCTTGCAGCTTACTGTTATAAGTTTTCATTTTATTAAACATATCTTGAAGATCAGGAGAACCCTGAATATCCAATATACTCGCATACTCCAAGTGAATTTTTGATAGTAAATTTTCCTGTTGCTCTCTAAAAATATTGGCCCCTAATGATGATTCAAGAAATTGATATACAGTGTTATGGATAGATAGCCTTACACCAATTCATTCAACTGTTTTTGTACACCTGCTAGGGGTGGTTGGTAGGCATTAACCATCCCTTCAACGAAAAGTTTTGCTGGTCCTTTATAAGGATTTTCTACAATTGTTGCAGATGATCTACAACATAGTAATTGCAGCCAATGCTAAGGTGAACAAAAGTATATTACCTTATTTCCGCATATTCCATATTTCAAGAGCAAATTTAGTCAAATACATTAGTTTTGATTAGCTCATTTGGTTGGATCTATGAGGAATATAAGGTTCCCAGTCTATGTCGATCCTATGTCTTGACATTGAATAGACAAATACCATACGAGATTGGTTAGTTTTGTTCGAGTCCTTGTAGTTTATAAAAAAAAAAAAGGAGAAGCCTTTAAAATAAACAAATTATTTTAAATGAAAGAAAACGAAAAATTTCTGTGGCGCTATTACCATTTTCTGAAATTGGACAAAAATTAAAAATAATTTTTCATCGACTTTTAAAAAGGTTTGTTTATTAATAATATTCCAAACACATGGTTTAAATTCATGGATAAAAACATCATAGTTTTCCCTGTTGTTATGTTTGAGTTTATCATAAAATTTGGTAGGACGCCACCAAATTGTAATTGTGTAAATTGATGTTTTGTCTTTATTCACTTTGTTCATTTGTGACTTTGAGAATATTTTTTAAAAATTAAAATTTTTGCGGCTTACTGTAATGTAAATTCTAACGTTACTTGCTAATTACGCTACCCACCGCTACGAGTTCTTTTGGCGCTGTAAAATGAATATTTCATTCAGAATTCTTTTTCCCAGCCGCCAGCAGCAAACGGGGAGTTTATTTAGAAAATGGCGTCAGGAAGCTTGGTGGTGGTATGTGGTGAAGTGACAAAAGAGTGAAAAAAATCGGGTGTTTATTTCGAAAAATGTGTGTGTCTTCGATATAGTTTTAAAACGTAACATTTACTTTATAGTGCTTAAAAATGACAGCCAACATGTATCGTGTCGGAGGTGAGTAGTTGATTATAATTAACCGGCTTTGCTCAAAAGAGCTCTTCCTCTATAATAGTCATATTGTGTTTATGAAGCGTTTAGATACCTATGTTCGGGAATAGCTATTGCCTTTACGTAACATGTAACATAATTCTTAATGTGCTATTAACCCTTTTAAATGCAATAAGCTTACGAATATAAAATTGGCTAAAAAATAAACAACGGAGCTGATTAAGTGGCAAAATTAATTAAAACTGGAATACGTACTTTCAATTTGACACCAGGTACATAGATAAGCCCAGGCAAGAGCCACTCGTAGTTCCTTGTTTGTTGAATTTCGGGTCGCATACTATCGCCTACAATTTTTTAATTAAGTAGGAGTGTGAATTTGCTGGTTTAATATAGTTTAGGTACCATTCTTATGCATCGTCTATCTATAGCGGGTATGCATGTATTACTTAAAAATCATATACAAATGATTTTTTTTTATTGGGGATGATGAACTTGAAATGGTCGGTAAACTGTTTGTTTTTGTTTTGAGGTTGTAGAAAATCATTTTAGATTTTTGGGAAATCAGAAATAGGTGTACCTGGTTGGTGTATCATTGAGACAGTCTATTTTTAAAATGGTCGATGAAATGTTTATGACATATTAAAGATCGGTATACAAATAAATTAAAATTAACCCGGAACGTAATGTAATGCAACCTGAGTTTTGCAGATTACGTGTACTTTGAAACGTCATCGACATCGCCGTTCCAAATCCGACGTATTGAAGAATTAAACAAAACCGCGTCGGGAAATGTAGAAGCCAAGGTGATGTGCTTTTACAGACGAAGGGATTTGCCGACACAGCTGATTCAGCTTGCCGACAAACACCAATGTAAGTGATCGTCAATGTGTGTTTTTTTGTAGACTTAAAATTTCGGTATTGGTTAATATTTATATATGTGAATGGGCCAAATATCTTGATTAGGAGCGATCGATATGCCCGCGACTGTACCTGTCTTGTCACACGGAAAGGCCAACCGTGTGTATGTGTTTCGCGAAATCATGCTACGACTGTACCGGATCAGACCGCGTCGCTATGACAACTGCGAGATGCTTGTTCTTTTGACGGGGCTGTACTTTTATAATTATACGCAAAAACTGGACGAGGCAAAATCGTAGGTAGAGCCCAAGCAAGGCGCTTGTGTCATCTAAATTGGGTACTATTCCTTTTGTGGAGGAAGTTTAGGTAATTATGATCCCTATTACCTTGCACATCTGATCTGATTTTCATTCGAACTGCGCAGCTATGGGGATATTTGAAAAAAACATTTTGGTAATAAGAAGCTTTTCAATTGCTCTAAATAATGTCTGTTAAAAAAAAGCATCCGAAAAACAAAAAATTTTGATGTTTTATATTACTGATTGACGGATTCTAGTTGGTGATGCAGTGGTTATTATACCTGTTTTGTATTTAGATTTAGATGTATCTAAAACGAGATTTGAAAGTTATGGTTAGTTGATTATTTTATTAATGTCATCACATAAAATTTGGCTTATATATTCTACTCACATATGCCTTGTGATTTTGGTAATAAAAAATAATTTCTTTTTTGCGATGCCCCGTAATCTTAGCACTGGAACAGTTATTAGCATCTTTCTAACATAAGGGACTAAAGATAAAAGGGGTAGTACTCTAAAAATGAAAACAGCTATCTTTAAAGATAAGAAAAATAACGTGCAATATTGTCGAAAGTGGAATGGGGTGGATAAGTCCCTAAAACAAAATAAATTTCATTGCTCAATCTAAATGAGGTGTGAATTTACCATCACGAGAATGCATTTTTTTATAAACAATTTAAATCGAAAAATAGTGTATATATTTGATCTTGGAGCATAAAACGTAAACTATTGACAAAATGTCAATACTGATAAGAATCTAAATACCAAATAAACGAACATGGGTGCTATTCAATAACGGGCGTTTTTTTTTTTCAAATATTAACAATTTTATATTTAATTTAATTTTGTAGTTAATAATTCCGACATTTTTTAGCGTTTTTGTAACGCAGTTAATAATTTTGCAAAGCAACTTTAAACTTTCCTGGTTTTTTGGGTTCCTAATTAACAGCATTGAAGTTGTTCCAGTCGTTTCTATATATACAAAATAAAGATTTTTCCATTTATGAAAAATTAACAAGGGGCAGCTGCGAATGCTATTTATAACAATATAAAACTACGCCTACTTATTTTGTGATTGGTATCTTGACACAAAAATCTAACGAACTTAACTTAAATTCGTAGATATGTAGGAATAACATTTTTATTATTTGCAAAAAAAAATCACATCTGAAAGTAATTTAATTGATGCATTTATTTGTCACGATTGTGAATCTGATGGTGTAATCAAATTAGAAAAACCTCATCAATTTTTGGATTTTATGGCAAGGACTAAAGCGCAGAGTGACTCGGAAATAGATTGCGACAATTTGTGATTATTACAACAACAAAAAGAACCTTATCTAGATTGAATGCAATTACAGTCGAAATCGCGAAAATGAACCATCAAAATGGACGCATTATACATCGCTAATCGCGTTTAAACAGTTCTGAACCAAAAATCGATTTTTTCATTTTCATTTCATTTTTATTTTAATCGTACTCAGTTGTTTAGATTACAAAATTAATACATAATCGATATATTGATTTTGACTATATGTCGCATTGTATATGTGATAATCAACGGTTTTTCTATATACGTTTTAAATTAAAAAAATGCATGCGTTTTGCGTCATTCCAGACGTCCATGAAATCAACAAGCGTCCAAGTCTGTTCCCCGTTCTCTATCATACATAAACAAATATTTTTTTATGTCAATAGGGACTGGACTACTCTAGACAGTGTAGTCTCCAACTTGTGACATTCACCGCCGGAAAATATTGGTTTAGTTTAATTCAGGTTAAAGCTCAAAGAGTGGCTTTTCAGTGGCTAAAAGCAGATGCCAAATTCGCTCTCATATTTAGGCTAAATGTTCTTATCGTATTATTAATGATAATATCGATGTCCCTCATACCTTTGTAAATATGGTTTGTTGTCTTACGTGGCCTCATTCACTCGTCCAGGAAATGGCAACCCATGTGACCTTGAATGATAGTATCTCTAGTATTTGCAGCCGTTTATTGTCCCGTACTGTCTTTAGATCCAATAATAAAGAATTCCAATTACAAGTGTAATTAAAATATAAAAAATCGAGTTTTTGATATTTGATATTGGTATTCTTTTGAAGTTACGTCATAATCCACGCGTTTTATGAAGTAAATTAGTAGCGATTAGTAAATATACATTATTTTTTATCTATGCACAATATTGACGTCATTACTGCATTAGTTTACCATAATAAACCGTTATAAATAAATAATGGTATTGAATCGATAGTACACGTAACTGACGACACCAGAAGTCGTCGTTAGATTCCTAAATAATAAACGCGTAGAATACAACTTCCGGACTAGTAATAACTATCAGGCTTAATAGCCCCACCTAGAAATGTACCGCCAATATTTATTTTTTAAGACTTTGGCGCGGTTTAGCATCTAAATAAATAAACAAACGTTTGAATTCTGTTCTGACGCCTATTGCGCTGAAACTCCGTTAAAATTACAGTTGAAATTTCGTTTACGGATACGGAAATCTGTTTATAATCTCCATTATTATTATACAAGGTTAGTCAAAAAAGACAGTCGTTTAACATTTGTGAATCATCTTGAAAGAAATATCGTATATTTGAATTTATTTATAAAAACTAACACACAGTACTAGTGGAGAAATAGTATTATATTTATTAATATCACCGTAATCTATAATAATCTGATTATATACAAAATGGTGGAAATTATGACACGCGAATCAGTGATTTCCACACGGTTTCGCATGATTTCGCGCCATTTCACATGATTGCTCAGTTAAATAATTTTAATGAGGTATCATAAGCTACTAAGACTCACAAATTAAAATCTGTGGTGGGAGCAGGACTGGGGAAGAAGCTATCGCTATTATTACGGTTAAACATCATTTTTATCAAAATGCAATTTTACGAATTTTATACAGGAAACATTGGAATTATTCTTAAACTACGAATTATGATATGTGAAAATAGATCGTCCAGATATAACGGAAAAGGTAATTTCATTTTAAATTCTTTTAAATTTGAGTAAAATTTTTGGTTTGGCATTTTTAAAAGATTGCATTTTTTAGTGGCTTTGCCTAAAATTAGACTTTTTGCGCAGGAATTTCATTTTGTCCCATTTCGCTGAATTGTTTCTACCAGAGGAGAGAGAGAGAGAGATAATTTGAACTGTATTTCAACTTTAACGCCATAAAAAGAGCTGGTATAGGGTCTTTAACAATCAACTCCCACTATAATGAACATGAAATGATCTTGTTTGCAAAACTTGCGTTTTCTTAGTATGCCAAAAGAAAGCCAATTTCGTTTTGGTATGGTGATTCCAATTTTAGCTGACTTATAGCTTATGAAGAAGTTTAGGTTTTAAAAAAATTACATTTATTGAAAATTGAAAAAGTCTCACAAAGTGGTAAAGACATTAAAAACCACTCCAATTTGTTTCCTATTTTTAAAGCTTTAGCAATGCAGGTAAATTACCAAAAACTGCCTGCTGGATGAAATTTGTAAAAGAAAATGCAGTATTTGTTTTACCATCATTTATGAAATAAATTATGCCAATTACATAAGTAAAATATTGTAGTTCTCCATTTACAAGGAGTTTGTATTTCCGTGAATGACTATCAACTTCCTTATTTGAAGCGGAACTCTATATATAGGGATTTTTGAATTACTCGGCACATGGCATATTTTATATATATAATACCTAAATCTGATCGTTTGTGGGAAATTTTGAATTTTATGTCAAAGTGGTTTGCAAGTCTAACTAACTAAAACCTTGGTTTTATATTTCGGGTTGATTTATTGAGTGGTCTATATTGATATTTTGAAAATAAATAAAGACATTGTGATCAATAAATAAGTAAATAAATATAAAAATTTGCAACTTTCACAAAATTGTAGTTTTCGAAATGGTAGCCATAAATGTTTTTTCATTGTTAAAATACTGTACCGTTATGTTTTGCTAATTTTCTGTTTCAAAATTAGTGCTTAAAAGTTTTAATCCCATTACGATTATAATAAAAAAATATACAACGTTTTACTGAATAAAAAGTTAGTATGGTAGTAAATGAAACAAATTAAGTAATAATAATACAAATTAAAAGGATATTTGTAACATTCAGGCATCTTCTTAATGTCAATAGAAACTGCAGTTGTAGAAACAACCAAATATGGATTGCGCTTTCAATTTCTTCTGAAAATTTATTTCAACAATAGCCAAGTTATTAGTATGTATCTTTAATGGTTATGAAGATACTTGAACGAGACAAAACGGAAAGAGAATGAATAATTTGTACATTTGAAAACCATAATATTTTTGATTTGTCAAATTAATTCTTATTTCTTAGTGCAAATTTTATATAATAGATTACCAAGGTTTTCCTCTATTAATTTTTCACTACTTACTTCCTCAATTCCGAGATCGTCATTATTTTATGACCCGATATCTCGCTAATGGCTGGCGCATTTCACCTAATTTCTTTAGAGATTTTGCTGAATTCGGCAATGATTTCGCGTGATTTCTTAGATTTCGCCTGGTTTCGTCGAATTTCGTATGATTTCGAGGGATTTCGCGCGATTTCGCATAGTGAAACTGCAAAAGGTTAAATCTTCTTTGACAGTCACAATTGGAAGACACCTTTAAAAAAAATCATTACTTTTTCCTCGTTGACTGCTTAATTCAATATACACATCTTTCATTTGCGGTTTTAAAC